TGTTTGATAAATAAAAAATTTGATAAATAGTTTTAATACAAAATCTAATTATGAATTAAATATCTGTTTCGAAAAGTTATTAATCAAATATAAAATCTATGGTTAATAAACCTTGCTTTTATTCATATTAGTTGCATAAGGTTAATCAAAATCATTAATTAGTGTGGCAAAAATTTTAAAATTCATATATGGTTATACTAAGCAATAAATTTAAATAATTCATTACATTCTCTAACATGCAAGAGTTCTGCAATTAGACTGTATTTGGTACATGGGATATGACAGGACAGGACGAGACAAAACTCACTGTCTCATGTTTGTTGTGACATGGGACAAGACAAGAACTTATTGTCCCATGTTTAGTGCGACATGGGATAGGAACAAGAACTGCGACAAAGAGCTTTTTTCTGCTTAACCAAAATAGTTGGAACAAGATGGAACAAGAATGAGACAGAAACTAAAATATTACTAAGTAACCTTCGTTTGTATATAACAATAACATGGTATTTGTTTTAGTGGTCACTACCGTTAGTTGTGACCGCCACCACCATCGATAGCCACGGTCGACTCCCCCCCTCCACCACCTCTACAACCACCTTCGATCATCGACTACCATTGTCTATCACCACCTCCACAACCACCATCGATCACCTACCACCATCGTTCGTCGCCACTACCACCATTGGCCACCTCCACCTTCTCTTCTACTATAACAACCTCCTCCACCACCTCCACAACCAGTGTTGTCCACTGACCACCACTGTCCATTGCCACCATCATTACACCGTTGGCCACCTCCACTTTCTCTTATACTACAACCTCCTCCACAGCCATCATCGTCCATTGCCACCAGCACCACCACCGTTGGCCACCTCCACCTTCTCTTCTACTGCAACCTCCTCCACTACCTCTATAACCATCGTCGGCCACCGATCAACACTGTTCACCGCCACCACCATGGGCCACCTCACCTCCACCAACGACTACCACTACCATTGCCCACCACCACCGGCTATCATTACCACCGTCGGCCACCACTATCGGCTCCCACTACCACTATCTACCAACTACAACCATCCATCTTCACCACCACTAGTATCGTCAGCCACCACCACTAGTATCGTCAGCCACCACCACTGCCTACCATCACACCTACCTACACCACATAGACCACAACTACCTCTTCCACCACTACCGACCACCACCACCACCACTATCAATCATCTTCACATCCTCCACAACCACTATCGTCTACCAATTACCAATGTTTCTATCTCCACAACCATTGTTATTGCAACAATATTTATTGTGCCTTCACCAATTGAAAGAATCTTCCAAACCGAATAAAACATAATTTATTCTTTATATGAATCGGGTTTTATCAAAATACCATCAATTATATAAAAAATTTCATTCAAATTTGGTACTATTTTATATTTATGTATATGAAAATTGTGCAAAATTGTTTATAAATTAAATTATATATTTTATTTGTGTTAATTATAACTAATTATATGATATATAAAATCATAAAATAACTTTTGGAGACAACTTATCTAGTTTTGTCATGTCCAGTTCTAGTCGTACTAAACACCAGACAAACACATGTTCTGTCCAATCCTACCCTTTTGTCTTGTCCAGTTTTGTCCTACCCAGTCATGTCCAATCATGTTTGCGTATCATACGTCTACCTTAATTGAGAGAAATCCATTAAAAAAAATTGAAAATATGATATGGAATGTAATGGTTTCTATAAAATCTACATAATTGTAAAACTCTTTATTTTAGTTAGTATTTATTTTTAATATGATTAATATATTGGGAATTTATTTTAGTTATCGTAAGAACATCTCCAACAGATTCTTTAATGAAGAAAATAGATATTTTGGAGATTTTGGGAATGTTTTTAGCTCAACCAAGATCCAAAAATTGAGAAAGTATGAGAGGGAGTGTAAGAGCATCTCCAACATACTCTCCAAAATAAAGAATCAAAAGTTAAAATATCAAAAAATGTAGATTACAATGTTATTTATATTATTAAAATATTCAAATACAATTAATAAAATATTATTTCTCTCTTTGAACATTTAATTTCAAGAATTTTTATTGATAGAAAAAATAAAAAAATATTTCTCTTTCCTAACTAATTCTTTTTGAAAAATTCTCCAAATTTGGAGATTTTCATCATATCTCTCCTACTCTTTCCATTTTGAAGAATTTCTTAGAGGAAAAAAAAATCTCCAAAACTCCATTTTGGAGAATTTTTAAAAATTATTCAAATTTGGAGAACACCCTAAAAATTATTACAACGAGGGAGAAATATTTTTTAACATATTCTCACCAATAGAAATTATTGAAATTAAATATTTAGAAAGAGAAATAATATTATATCAGATGTATGAAATATTTAAATAATAGAATCAATGTTGTGTTCCCACCAATAGAAAACCTTTCTATAAAATGAAAAATCTGTTGTAGTTGACTGTATTTTTGTTTTAGACATTTGTTGAAGATGCTCTAACAAATTATTTAATGCAGTTACTATCCCAACAAACTTCTAGTATTTAATTATTGAAAATGATAAAAAAAAAATATTTCTTTATCTATTAAGAAATTTCTAGCATTAATCACTTGGTTTATATATATATATATATATATATATATATATATATATATTCCCATCCTTCGAGACACTAATCTTCAACTTACGCTTTATTCGAAAATACACATACAAAGATCAAAATGCAAGTTATTCACATGAACAAAGGCGAAGGGGAGACTAGTTATGCCAAAAACTCGCTACTTCAGGCAACCCAAATCAACACTAGCTTTCATCATTTAATTTACACCATATATTGATATATATGATTTACCTGACCCCTTGGCTTTGATCATTGCAGAAGAAGATTATATCAGTTGGTATTTCAATGGTGGATGCTGCTATTACGAACATCTTGTGGGAGATACAGCCAACGAGCATGGGGGTAGCAGACCTTGGCTGCTCATCTGGACCCAACTCCTTGACCGTCATCTCTCAGATTATCCATGTGGTGGACACTGTCAGCCATCAAATGGGTCGCCCTGTACCCGAACTAAGGGTCTTCTTGAACGACCTCCTTGACAACGACTTCAACTCTGTGTTTCAGTCATTGCCGCAACTTTACAAACAACTCAGTAATGATTGTAGTGGTATTAATGAAGGTAATTGTTATATTTGTGGTTCGCCAGGTTCCTTTTATGGCAGATTGTTTCCCTCCCAAAGTCTTCACTTCGTCCATTCTTCTTCCAGCCTCCACTGGCTCTCTCAGGTATGTATAATGCATGCTAACTTAATTTACATAACTAAATTTATCAATTGGTAAGTTTTTTGATGGATGTACATCTTGTGACGTGTTTGAATAGGTACCCTCGGGTTTGGAAGCCACTCATTTGAACAAAGAGAAGTTATACATATCGAAAAGTAGTCCCGCGAGTGTAGTGGAGGCATACCAACAACAGTTTCAGAAGGATTTCTCGTTGTTTTTGAGGTCACGAGCCCATGAAATGGTGGTTAAGGGGCGTATGGTTTTGTCATTTCTGGGTCGACGCTCCCCTGACCCTTCTGTAGACGAAGCTTGCTACCACTGGGAACTTTTGGCTCGTGCTCTAATGAGTTTGGCTTTAGACGTACGTGCACTTCTTTAGATCTCTCTCTTTCTCTCTCCCTCCTTGACTTTTTGTGTTTTGAAAAAACCAAACACGACAATAAAATGAGGGTTTCTTAAAGGAAAATCCCCAAAATGCTAAAATAACAGAAAAAGACCTCTCTTGCAAATTATTTAGGGGTCGTTTACCAAACGCTTACTTGAGTAAGCATTTACCAAGTAACATTACCTCACCGGATGAATACAGTAAAGACCAAGAATCTTACCCGGTAAGAGCGAGACAAGGATCAAGAGTCTTACCCGGTAAGTGAGGGCGACGACTCTTACCACGGTAAGCGCTTACCGGATAAATTATTATATACTATGTCGTTTTGGTGGACAAAAATCTTACCTGATAAGTACATAATAGTGTCAAATTTTACCGGTAACTACCTACCGAGTAAGTGTTTGATAAACGACTCCTTATATTTTTTTTAAATAAAAAAGAAAAGAAAGAAATCGTTAATGCATTGTTTTAATAAAATATATTAGTACATTAATACTTTAGATTTCCAGGTTTTGGGTATTTAAAACATTAATTGAATTTTATGCATGTAAAATTTACCTAAATTAATGATTTTGTTGTTCCGATTAATTAATGAAATTTAATATTTGTTAATAATTTTTTTTCATAGAATTGACCATTAATGCACATCGCATATAGTTATCGAATTTATTTTGAAAATATCGCAAATGGGCCATTTGCGACATTCTAGCCATTTGGCGAGAAAAACGAAAATTAATGGCCAAGAGCACCTTTGACTATCTCATAGAACTTTAATTTTATTGATGATTCTTTTTCAACAATCCGATGATTTTTGTCAGGTCTTTAAATTGAAAGATAATAATGTGGTTCAAATCATAATAATAAAATCTGGTTTATAGGATACTCTCAATTTTTAAGTGTTTTAATAGACTTTTTTATAGGACTTAATTTATAGGACCAAAAAAATAAAGTGTCATATCTAAAGGTGTTGTAATAAATTTATATGACGTTTTTTGACATTTTAATAAGTTTTTTAGAACATTTTTAATACAAAACGTCTCATTAGCAACTTTATAGGACACTATTTGAAAACTGTCATATAATGACAAGTGTTCTATAAAAAAAATGAGTTTATAGGACACTTTCTCAGAAGTGTCCTATAAAGTTGCTAATGCGACACTTTGTATTAAAAATGTCCTAAAAAACTTGTTAAGACGTCCAAAAGCATCATATAAACTTATTACAACACTTTTAGATATAACACTTTATATTTTGGTCCTATAAATTAAGTCTTATAAAGCGGTCTATTTGGACGCTTAGAGATTGGGGGTGTCCTATAAACACAATTTTGTTGTAGTGACTTGTTAGGTTATTTAGCATTGTCCCAACAACTTTATAAGATCTACGGTTTTTGGCCTTGTAAAAATAAAGTCGCATCAAATACTTTGTTGTAACATTAAATGACGAAGTTGTTCTAAGAAAACCATTTTGTTGTAGTGTGAGAAAGTGGGTTTATAATATATTTATCTTGATGTATCGGTAAGTTGTATCAAACAGGCAGTGGTTTTTTTGTTTTTGTTTTAGGGACTCGTTGAAAAGGAAAGCATTGATTCGTTTAACGCCCCTTATTACGCACCAAGCCAAGAAGAAGTGGAACATGAGGTCGAGAAAGAAGGATCATTTGTAATCCACTCTGTTGAAGCGTTTGAGATAGCATGGGATGATGGTGACTCCAGTGGTCTCAAGGAATCAAGTGGCACTCGAGTGGCTAAGACCATTCGAGCCGTGGTGGAGCTGATGATCGAGAATCATTTTCATCTTCATGCAGAAACGATGGATGTGCTGTTCAGGAGATATGCTAAAATCGTCGACGATTGCTTCTCTGAAACAAGACTCCATTATACTAATCTGCTTATTTATCTAGTGAAAAAGGGCTGATCTCATGACTGATCTGAAGTTCATGTGTTCTTCTTGACCCTTCTTACCTTTTGTTAAAGGTATTTGGCTTTTCGATCTTTCTACTCTGATCCATATTGTTTTCTATACCAGTTCTTAATAAGAAAATATATAAACTTACATAGAGACCTTCTCAAATAAGTGTTGTATTTCTTAGGACATTCTAATATAAAAAAAAAGGTTTCATATTTTAAAACAAATGAATATGATAGTTGTCATATTTACATACCCTTGGCCTTGGACTAGAGATGGCCAAAAACCGGTCCCGGGCCGGTCCCAATCGGTCCTCATCTTTCTCATAACCGGCCATAACCGGTCCCGGTCTTGGTCCCAGTCCCAATCGAAAATGATAGGACCGGTCAAGGTACTTCATAACCGGTTATGGGTCGTCAGTCTCGGTCCCGGTCCCAACCGGTCCTTGCATTAAAAAAATAAGATTTTTTTTTGATTTTTTTAATGATATATATTTTTAATACATTATAAAATTTACAATTGAGTCACTCAAATACACTTTAAAAATGCGTTTTAATATAATTAAAATTATGTTTTCTTATAAAAATACATTATAAAATTATTTAAAAATACATTTATTTATAAAATTATTTGAATTTTCGGGCCGGGCCGGGCCGGGCCATAGTCGGTCCCATAACCGGTCACGGTCTCGGTCCCACGAAACTACCAAAAACCTCAACCGGTCCCGGTTTTTGGTCCCATAACCGGTCCCGGACCGGTCCTTTGTCGGTCCCAATCTCGGTCCTCCGGCGGTCCCGGGCCAGACCGGACCTATTTGGCCATCTCTACCTTGGACTATGCCATATCTAAATACAATAGTTGTCACATCTAACCTCGTTAGTGTAAGAAAAACTTGGCAAGAGTATGTTGATTGACATTATATCTCTCTCAATATAACTTATCTATTTATACTATATTATAAAGTACTAGAAGCGTACTCGCGTAATGCAGCGAGATACATCGT